TCTCTAACCCCATGGACTGGGGGTGATTTTCAATGGGTATTGTGTTCCCAGTGGCTGTTTTCTGGCTGACCTGGCCCAATAGCCTAGAACAGGATATAAATAATCCCAAGCACAGGTTTTGGCATTTCTGTTTAGAACAAGTGACTTTCCTCCATCCAATGGCCCACCACTGTACAAAAGAGTGATTGGGATCCAGTGTGATTTGGAGTCTTAGTGAAATAGTTATATTATTTACATTGTAAAATGTAGTAAAAAATAATAATAACAGTAAAAATGTGTGAAGTAAAACTTTCTAGAAGTCAGGAAGCAAATCTTATTCATCTGTATCCCTGAAAGCCCTCATGCAGAGCAGGTGCTCTGTAAACATCAAGTATATAAATAAATGGATGGATAAATCATAATAATTTTACTGTCTGATTATCACCTGTTCTGCACCTATGAGATGCCAGGACCTGTGCTAAGTCCTTTACATTCATTACTTCTAATCCTCTCTACCACTTTCCTGAGTGATAGTATTTTTCATTATACAGCTGAGGAAACTAAGGCTCAGAGAAGCTATGTGCTCAAGGTCTCACAAATGAAATAATAGTGCTGGGACCAATGCCTCAACTGTTTGGTTCCAAAGCCCACATAGTCTGCACCCCAACCTGACAGTTACCCACCACTGATGGGTCACAGGACAACTTCACAGCCCATAGGAAGCATATGAGTGGCTTCATGTTGGTGTATCATTCTCAGACATGACCAAATAATCATGGGTCAGGACTAGAGCCATCCCATGCTATCTCAGGACCCTGGAGAGCAACTCCTCTGTCATCCCTGATCCCTGCATTTGCAGGACACCCAAGGATTGAGAAGGCTAAGTAGCCTCTCTGAAATAGGGAAACACTGCACGTGTTCCAAGGGCCAGGAGCAGGACAGGGACCTATCCCCTCCCCAGGTGTGTGCCCCATGCTTTCCCTGGCTTACCTGGTCTGAATGCTCTTGGAGATGATGCCTATGGCTTTGGGCAGTTGCTCTCAGAAATCCTACTTTATAATAGAGAAACTCCCTACAAAACTTAGTATTTGGCTTCTGTGAGTTTGTTTACAATATTTAAGTAAACCTACCTTTACTTAGAGACTCTTTGATGCATCCCCAATGTGCATTTACTAACAGCTTTTTTTGTCTCTGATCTTTCCCCTTTCTAAGTCACATTTTAACTTTAACTACAGAGGTTACAGTGATGGGCATGTGTCAACAGATTTCACTGTCTTCCAGATGACATCAGTACCTGCAGACAGAATTTGCAGGAAGACCTCTCCTTCTTGGAGAAGAGAATTCACAAAGTAGGTTTTTCAGTTATGTGAGGTAGTTAAGATAAATTGTTACAAATACCTATAGAAAGTTGACCACTGAGCAAATACACCAGTATTTTTAAAACAATATTTTTCATCTTTTGAATCAACTCCTACAAAATGAGTAAACTCTGAGACAGCATATCCCAGCATGTGTTCCATGGGGTATTAAGAGATGTTCTGGGTAACAAGGATTCTGTGATGAATCAGTTTGACAAACACTGTGGAAACCTGTTTGCTTAAAATGGTAGAATCCTCCTCATTCTATTACGGGGAATACCGTTACTCCCATAAACAGAATACACTGCATGGTGTATTAGGATTCTCCAGGGAAACAGAACCAGTAAGATAAATACATATAAGAGGAGATTAATTATGAAGAACTGGCTCACATGTTTACGGAAGCCGAGAAGTCCTACAATCTGCTGTCTGCAAGCTGGAGACCCAGGGAAGTTCATGGTGTGATTCAGACCCAGTCCCCAGTCCTGAAATCCAAGGCAGCCAATCATGTACATCCCAGGCTGAGGACAGGAGAAGGTGAGATGTTCCAGCTCAACAGCAACGCTCTCAGCAAACTGGATGATGCCCGCCTGCAGTGGGGAAGCCCTCTGCTTTACTGAGTCCACCAACTCAGAAGCACCCAGAAATCATGTTTAATCTGAGCACCCCATGGCCAGTCAAGTTGACATAAAAAATTAGCCATCACACATAGTTTTTTGCCTAAAATTGTTCAATCACAGAACCACTCTGTTTATAATTGAGTGAGCTGAAGGACTAACACTTGAAAAATACGTTAGGGAAAGGCACTTCTGGGTCCTTTGATTTTTAGTGAATTCCTGTCTCAACTCATAGTGTCATCCATGCTCTAGCAGAGCAGGGGACAAATCGTATAAACGTCGGTAACTGACATGTCCTCTTCACAATCCAGCAAGCTGCCAAGTGGGACTATGAATTGTCTTGAATTGTCTTGGGATTTTTCTGCAGTTTGATACAAGCTTACAACATTTTGGGCTGGGACGCACCCTTTCTGTGTACCATTCAGGAAGACACTGAGGTTTTTCTCTTTTCATATTCATCTCTCCCTTCCTCTGCTCTCCTTTGGATTATTTGCTGTTGATTTTTAAACATTTGAGTAGGGTGCTTATTCCATCTACTTTCATTCTCTTTTTACTGATGTAAAAATTTAAGGCAGTTCACCTCAGCAGAGCTTCACCTCTGTCTGTTATGATTTGTAGTGTTTCCATGTTTCCTCAAAATACCAAACTTGGTTTATAGTTATTCTTTGGCCAAAAGATTGTTTGAGATAAATGTGGTGATGGTGGCATATTTCATTTCCATGGGGAAAGGTCTTCCTGCATTTTGTCATTGCTATTAGCTTCATTTTTTTTTCATTATGGAATTAAAAGCATACGATGTGTTGACTTGATAAACATTTTACATTGCCCATCACCTCACAGTTACCTTTTTTTTCTTTTGGTGAGAAAGATCTACTATCTTAGCAAATCTCAAGTAATGCAAGGCAGTATTACTGCCTATAGTCACTATGCATGATTTTAAAATAACATTTAATAGACTTTCCCTTCATTTGTTGCTTGCTTATAATATAGAGAAGATTATTGTCTCACACCAGATTTGTATTAGAATTCCAGGTATATTTTTCTTCAAAAAGATTTATCTTGATCCTTTCTTTCCCAGAAGCTGGGGAATGGAAACCCAATTACATGGCTCTCTTAAAAGGGTTGGCTGTATTTCTGGGCAGGGAGCAAAAATGATCCACATCTACCAGTCTTACTGTTTCCTTCATCTCAAAGGAGCATAGTTATGAATGGAAACCAGGACTTGCTCTTTAAACCAGGCTTTCACACTCCCAGTTTCCCTGGGCCTCATTTTCTTTATTGTGTGTGTGTTTTGGAGATTATTCAGTAGCAACCAACAAAGCTTTAATTCATTTTCCAAGTATTGTACTTTATTCCACTGTATGAATTTCCAATAATTAATTTGGTTTATTAGTGCAATTCAAGGAATCTTTATTCAAATCTGAAGACAGAATGAAAGACATAAATTAGTTAATTAGTGATGAATAATATGTAAAGATAAACAAGGAAGACCCAGCATTTAATGAGACAAGACACTTAGAAATAGAATGGTTTTTATTTGATCTGTCTTCATGAAAAAAATCCATAACTAGAATTCCAGATAAGCTTGGGTGCCTACATTTTTCAGTCAACTAGATCTATAATGTGCCTACTCACAGGAAGGAGATGAGGTTACCCACATTGTAATTACAGAAATTCCTACATAGGAACGGACCATGTCCAGGGTGCAGCCTAAGACCTATAAAATGTTGGCAAATGTTACCCAAATGTAGGCCTTTGCTCAAAACCAAAACAACCTGCTGTCTTCCCATTTTCTCCTCCAGCTATGTACAGAAAGACAGAAGCACTATGTACCTTATCATTTTCTATCACATACTTTGTATTATTAATCACTTACTTAAGTTCTTTTCTGCCACCTTCCTTGGAAGGTGTAAAGAATAAACACCCTCAAAAGAGTAGAAAACTGTAAGTATATAAATGTTGAGCCCAGAAAAATGAAGCACAGCAAAGTGAAGAAGATGTTAAAATATGAATGTGTTGGCTATTATTTATCAGCAGTGAACAGTGGCAAGAGCAGTTTATTGTTCATCAAAATGTTTTTCTTCTTCTTGGCCGTACAACTAGATTTGTTTCCCAGACTCCCCTGCAGTTGGAGGCCCTCTGTTTAAATTTCTGCCAATGGGATGTGAACAGAAGTGCTACTTCCGGCTGCGGTCCATGAAAGCCCTCCTGGGGCATTCTCCCAAACTCTTTCCTTCTACTTGACTGAGAGGACATGGCAGAGCCTCTGTCACCTTAGGTCCTTAAATTACGAGATGGAGGAGACGTATCCAGCCAACACACACACCTGCCAGGACTGTCACCTGAGCCAAAGCACACATTTTGATGGCCTTTGAGCCATTAATCAGCTGTGGGTGCATCTGTACATCAGCCCAGTGCAGCCTAAATAACACACGACTGACACAAAGCACAGCAAGCCTGTGTTTTCTGTTTGGGTTTCAGCAGGCCTTTACCAAGGCAGTCTAGACAGATGTCCACCCAGTCAGCTCTCAGTTGTTCAGGCATGCCTAGTGTTGGACCCGAGTGAGACCTGGCTCCCAGCACTGGAGGTCTCAGCTGGAACAGGGGTTCAGTTAATTTTCCAAAGGAGTAAGCCCAGAACTCTTGGACAGTGAGCCTCCAGAAACTTCTGGGGCAGCAAGTGTCCAGTTGAAGGACATCATCAGTTCAAAACCACAGGCCCATAACCTGGAGTTGAGGGGCACATGCTGCTCGTGAGTCATTGTGTTGAAATCAGGAAAGAGAGCTGTGTCAGTGTCTGGAGTCAGGCAAGTAGGCCACACCAGGAACCCCAGGGATGCAGGCCAGAAGCCAGGGTCTTGGCTGCTGCGTTCAAATTCCCAGCTGCAGACCTTACTAATTATGGAATCTTGGGCAACTTATTAGTGTCTCTGAGCTGATTTACCTCTTCTATAAAGCTCAGATAATGAAGCTACACGGCTCTAAGGTTTGTTGTGAAAATCAGATGTATTCAAAGGGCTTAGTCTGGCACATAGTAAGCACTCAGTTAACGATGGCTATTTTTATTAAGATGAGTGAGAAGGATGATCCTGGGGTGACTCAGGATCTGGCACAAGCCAGGAGCCTGGCCGGAAAGGGTAGAGAACCAGGGTTATGCTCAATGCAGAGGTTCCCATCTGAAGCTGCAGCCTAGCCGCACCTGGATCTGAAGTGTGGGTAGCTGGGTCTTTCCACTACTCTGCAACCCTGTGACTCACCACCAATGACCAGCACAGGCCAGACAGCATGGAGTGTCCTGGTCACACACATGGGGGGAGGGCAGTGACAGGGACATCCCCCACCCCTGAGGGAAGCATTCCGAAGGCCTTCCAGCCCTGAGGGTGGCCCAGGCAGAGTCAGTGCATTGAGATTGGCCAGGGAAGGAGGGCTGAGGAGTGGACCTTGCACGTCAGCATCTCAGATGCCTTAAGTATCAGCCATGTGACTTCTGGTAAGTCTCTGAACTTTATTTTTTTTCTCATCTAAAATGCTGTCTTAAAGAGCTGCATTATGACTAAATACAATAGCACGTTATCTTAGGAAATACCTAACAGGGCATAGTTCTGTAAACTTTCTCTGCAGGTCAGGGAAGGGGGGACTGATGTTTATGCGGTCCTGTGTTGATGGGTAAATGGCTGGGCTGTGCATGGGAACCATTCAGTTTGCTACAAAACCACTCGGAGGCCCTGTTGGTTGTGATTTACCATGACAGTGCCCAGTGTGGTGAGCTGGCTCAGCTATAAAGTGCCTGTGAACGAGCAGTGGGCCAGCCCCGGAGCCCCTGCTCCCAGTGCCCCTCTCTGCCCCAGGTGCGCCCTTGCAGCCCGTCTCGGTTCCCTCGGCCGCTGTCATAGCCCTTGGCCCTCAGATGCACATCCTTTAGCACTGGGTGCTCAGTAGCTCCACTCTGTGCTGGACCCTCATGGGCAAGCTCCCATGGCTGAGTTTTTAGGTATAAGATCATCTATTGCACACTTGGCAAGGAAATCTTAATTCTCAGGAAGTGGCCTTATCTCCGACCCACCCCAGGTGCCTCTTCCACCCCATTCATGCAGAAGCCCTGGAAGGCCCCATCTGTGCCCCTGCAGGGTCATACCCAGCGCCATATCCTATACTCAGCAGGGGATATCTGGTCTCCAGACGTGCAGGATGGGGTGGTGGCTCTTGTGCTGTCCGCATGGGTGAGCTCTTTCAGCACTGGCCTCTTTTCCTGTACTTTAAGGACAGCCTCTGTGTTTTCCTGCTGTCTTTCTCCTCTCAAACCTGTCTCAATGGCCTCCCCAACAATATCAGTTGCTACATTGTTCTTAAGGATAAAAAGTGTCTTCTGCACAGGGTCCAGGAGAGAGGCTTCTCTGAGACCCAAGGCCATTTGTGTACCTGTTCTGGGACTGGGTTTGTTGCTTGTCTTTTAGGTATGTTGGACCCTCTAAAGTCAAACGTCTGTACCTGTGCCAGGTCTGTGACTCTAAGGAGCCTTCACTGTTCACAGCCTTCACTGTCTTAGACTCAGAGGATCCCTCTGCATGGGGACATTTCTGACTCCAAAACTTTACCTGCTCTTGCAAGAATTTCTGTGTAACACTGTTGTTACTGAAGAATTAATTCAGTCCAAATGCTTTCCAGTATTTAAGAGAACAGAGGGAGACTGACCGCAAGGTGAGGGAGATGACTTGTGCCTGGGGGTGGCGTGGGGGCTGACAGGCACCAGAAGTGGGCTGGGGGGCCCGGCCAGAGGCAGAAGGTGGCCCAGAGGCAGAAGGTGGCCCACTTTCTCTGTCAAGAAGCCACTGCCTAGGACCCCAGGAGAGGCCGGGCTGAGGTCTACACTGTTCAGATGGGGATGGCAAGGCCCAGGAGGAAGCAGGGCAGCACTGAAAAGCCACCTGATAGAAAACCACCCGGTCTGAGGAAGGAAGCAAACCAAGGGGAGCAGGACAGAGAGGCGCCATGGGTGGGTCTGGATGGGGGACGTCACTGCAACAGTGGCTCAGCAGCCTGACACAGAAATGAGACAGCATTTCTATCCAGGCCTGAAAACCACTTCAAGTCCCCAGCTTCTGAAGAAAGGAATTTGAACTCCTCAAAACACCCCTAAGTTTTCCTGAGTCTTGGCCACATCACAGATGGAGAATTAGGGGCCCAGGTGGCACACCTGGTGCCTTTATTCATTAGCTACCTCGGCCCAAATGCTGCTCAGAATCCCCTTCGAGCTGAAAGCCCCAAACCTGTTTTCTTTGTCCCATCAGTTTCTCATAAATCTTTTGCCTGTCTCAAATGTACAAAAACTGCCTGCCGTGCCGATTTCTTGGGGTCTCAGTTTAGCTGCTGGGCCCCCATGAACACTAATTAAACTCAGGTTTTGTCTCCCGGTAATCTGTCTGGTCAGTTTGATTCCTAGACCAACCGAAGGGACCTGGAAGAGGAACGGTCTTCCTCACCAACGTGAGGGCCAGGGCAGTTTGCTCGGGGCAGTGGCGATCTCTGCTGCTGACTCCAGCTGGACCTGCACGCCCCACAGAGAGAGTCCTCCCCGTGGCAACCCTGGGGAGAAGACCAGGATGCAGGCGCAGCAAACCCGCCAGGCCTAAGTGACTGGAGGCACAAGGACTTCCTTCCCTGTTGATCGTGCATTCACATCTCAGGGACATTGCAGACATTATGGTGCCCCTTTTCTCTGCTTGGTTTTTTGTTTTTCACGCACACGTGTTTTCATACATATTCATGAACAAAGTCACTCTTGCTTTCGGCTTTCTGTTTCCTCACATATCCCTGTGCTCCTTCAACTTTAAAATCTCCTTAGGAATAGAAGCTCAGTTAAAGTTTGCATTTTTGTGGCACATTTTCCCTTTATTTTGTCTTTCTCCTTTTACTTTTTAAGTAGCTTTGAAACGCCTTCCCCAGCATGTTTTTTCAGTCTGACATTGCCCACTCGAAATTTCCTGTTCCTCAGAATCCCCTTAACGCTTTCTGGCCTCTGCAGGGTCTTCTCCCTTGAGGTGAGATGGGTGGTGCCTACTGTGGGTAGAGAAGCTGGTTCTGATTTCCCATCAGAGGCCTCCAGCCACACGGTAAGAGAAACGATACAGACATAGGACGGAGAACCCCTGCCTTTCATAGTGGAACGTGGCCGCTGTCAGGTAGATGGCCAGGAGCAGCCTGGTATGACTTGCACCAGGACACACATGCTGGCTCGCTGCTAAGATTCAGTGCGGCTCGAGGACACCTCCATGCGCTATACCACCACTGCCGGCAACACTCAGCGAAGGTTGTGACTTACGCCAGGAAGATTAGAGGGACAGCTCTGAAGGCCAGTCCCAGCATCACCTGAAGTTGGATCCCTCCAGCCTGCCTGCACCCTCTTCCATCAAATAAACCACATTTCACGGAGCTCTCTGGAATTCGGGTGATGTCCATGATACCCCCTCTGACTAGGTCCTGCTATGGGTTCATCTCCTTACAGAGAAACAGCACCCTGCATTTTCAAACTGTCGGTTGTAAAAGTGTAATGTGGGCCTCACGTGATTTGTGTTTTATTCAATATATGACCTTGTCAATAAACAACTTCAGAAGCCAAAAACCCCACCAAAAGTGAAGTCTCTCTTGCATCCTTACAGATTTATGGTTCTCTGATACTCTGATGCTTCCTTTCAACATCCAGAATTCACAAACTAATCCTGATTTTTCTCCCTGCCCAGAAAGATGGAATCAACTATCCACTGAGGGCATTTTCCTTTCATTGGAGAACAGTTTTAGAATCCACAGGCACTAGTTCTACAAATAAGCTCATTCCACATTCTGGCTGGAATTTGGCAGAATGGCAGCAAAAATATCCAACAGCATAAATCACTGAGGGAACAGAGTGGATAAAACCTTCTTTAAAAGACAAGTCCATGGATTCTTACAGATATTTTCAATTCACCTCTATTTTAATAAGTTCTTGCCTGACTCTAGTAGAAATGTTCATTAATTTATTTTCTCACTCTTTGAATAACTAAATTTTTGTTGTTTTTATTAATGTTAGTTTTTTTAAAAGCTCTATATTTTCATACCAAACCAATGGGTCTAAATGTCAGCATCGCCTCCTCAAAATTCAGAAGACGCCACATTTTTTCTTCTGTCTTGACACAGCTCAGCTGCCCTGAAACTGGCTCCCTGGTGGGCAGGAGTTGATTCTTTGGTAAGTATTACCTTAGCACCAATATCTGAAAGGAAAAAAGGTCTGGCTAACATGTAGGGGACACCAAAGAAACTGAGTTCAGAGCACTGAGTGTGACACACAGATTCCTTGTTTGCTTAAGAAAAAACAATAAATGCACAATATAGACAAATACCACTTCTCAGCATTTAAAAACCAATCTCCTCTATCAATTTTCTCTCTTTGAGCTCTCTTACTTGAATTTATTTTCCCTTTATGTTTTTTCTTTCACTGGTGCCTTGTATATTTATGGAACAGAATGTTTAGTAAAGATAGCAATTTCACCCAGGCCCATGGGTACGGAGTGTGGCCTCAGGCGAGTCAACTATGCACACTTCTCGCCAACCCCACACTCGATCAGTCACAGTGCATGTGTTCACACCATGGAAATGGGCCAACACTGTAAATCATGAATTTCCACCCAGACAGCCAGTTGTTAGCATCTACCGGGACAAGTCTGGGTACACACCTCAGCCTGCCCAAAACAAAAGGTCAGAGCCTATAAGCAGTTAACACACAGAAGGATCACAGTTGCATGCCGAATGCCGTGTTGGAGAACTTCGCACAAGAAGTTAACCTAGACTGGTGCTGGGAGCTTTGTGTACACTTTGCCATATTCACTGCTCAGTGCTCCCCAGAACCAACCATTACAAAACAAAAAATACAACTGGGTTACAACACATTTTAGTTATAATACCCATTTAGTTATCCAGAGTTTCAAGTAATTTCTAGATATCTTTAACCCATCCCCAGAGGGTTTTATTTTCACAACAAACATGGAGAATTCAGTAATTTCTAGTTATTAACATTTCTGTGCTAATATCCAATTTTTTTTTATATGAAAAAACACACGCTGTGCTCTCCCCTCCCCGATTCTGCATCCTGGAGTAACTCTGCGTCTTCTGGGTGATACGGGGTGGGTAGAGCCCTGTGAGCTCTGAGTACGGGCTTTGGCTTTGCCAAAATCTCAAACAGGCTGCAGGGCCGTTAAGTTTCCTTGTAGGGTCAGGTGGGTCTGGCCCTCATTTGTTCTTCCTAGTGGTCTGTCGTGACCAGGCCCCGGGGTTATTCCTAGGAATAAAACGGCCTCAGCTATCTCATCTCTGGAAGCCGTTCCCATTGGAGGTTGTCATTTTGTTGCTCTTTTAGCACCTGAATTTAGGCAGGAGAAACATTGCTGCCTGAAGGCTCCGTGCAGCTCGGTTTCCTTGCCTTTGTACTGTGACTGCCACAGAGAAGCAACTTCCCCTCAATGAGGAAGCCAGGATGCCAGCCTCGCCCCCAGGGCTGCCCTGGGACAGCATCTGGCTTGACCCCTCTGGCCGGGGGGTGCAGCATGCACGCTGCCTCTTGCCTGGCCAGCACTCTCCCTGCTCTCTGGCCTCCCACTCCCCCAGCCCCACGCCTGGAGCAGGACTTTCTCTGGCACTGCCCCCCTTCTCATTTGTCTTTTAGCCCCAACAAGGTCTGGCTGTGCTCCTTCAAGGCCATGAGCCTGCCTGGCCCCTGCTCCCAACACAAGACAGCTCCCACGGCCTTGCCTGCCTCTCCTCCGAGCTCCCCTCTCCCTCATACTGCCCGTTTTACATCCGTCCGCATTCTACAACATTCTATGACCTTCTACTGTGTCTTCCTGCCCATTATTAAAGGAGTGAGAGGAAGGGTGTATCAACTCTGTCCTTTTTCTCCATGTCAGAAGCCAGCAGAAGCTACAGTAACCCAGACCAAAAATGGACTTAGAACAAGTGTTTTTGTTTTCTAAGACTAAGAACTTTGGAGAGACCCCTGGCTTTTCATTAGACTCCCACTTATCTCCCCATAAACGTCTGTATCTGGCTAATATTGTTGACTATTTCTATACAGCTTTTCTGTTATTTCTTCAAAACAGGAATTATTTCAAATCTTTTTGATGTGGAAAAGGGTCGACATTTCTTGAATAGCCTTTTGTGCTGTTGTCATTTTTTATTCTACTGCATCACTGAGACTGTGAGATTTTATGGCTTCTGCTTATTGGGAAATTATAGTATCGTGGGTTGTTAAATTTCAGGCATGGGGCATCTTGTTGCAATTACCATCTACTATTTGCTTTTTATATTCCACATTTTGTTTTCCAAATTTATCTACCTGATGAAGCATATCGGATTCATTGGTTTTAACTGCTGTTTAGGGTTTTATTTGTGGATATACCAGTATTGGTTTATTCATTCTCCCATCGGTGGATATTTTGATTAATATCTTTCTATCTCTCTCTCTTTTTTTTAATGGCAAATAGTGCTTGCTTCACGGAACAGATTTAAATGTCTCTCCTTTTTCCATGAATGAAAGTTTTCTCTAGGAAGGGTGCCTAAAATCACACTTGCTTGATCATAGCTTATACAATATCCTGCTTTACCAATATTCCGAGATTTCACTCCAAAGGTGTTGTAATAGTTATAAATTCTCATCAGTAGCTTATGAGAATTTTTCCCACATCCTTGCCAACATTTGGTAATTTTTAATTTTTGCCAATATGATGGTTATTCAATGATATCTTTTTTTTTTGGCACATCCCTGAAGAAAGATATACATCTTCAGATTGAAGAAACTTGAGTCCTGAGCAAAATACATAAAGATAAATCCACTCTTAGTGACATCATAGTAAAACTTCAGAACACCAAAGATAAAAAGAAAATCTTAAAAACAACAGAGGGAATATAAAATTTACTTACAATGGAAGAGCAAGCGGACTGAGAGCTGATTTCTCATTGGCAATTACAGAGGTCAGAAGACAATAGAATATCTTCCAAATGCTGTTGGGGGAAAAAAACCTGTCAAACTGGAATCCACACTGTTCTCCCAGGAGTTGTAGTCTGTGCATCCTCGGCTGGCCTCACACACCTCCTCAGAAATAGACTCCGCTTCTTGGCCAAAGGGATGGGCAGGCATGTGAAGCCGGGCAGATTCCAGAGTGGCATGACCTCTGGTTATATGACTGATCCAAAGCATAGCCAGGAAGAGCTCTGGACGCCCTGGGCCGCGCCCTCCCTGCACTGTGGATGTGGCCTCTTTGGCCCCTCGCATCTGAAAGTCTTGAGAGGAAACTTTTAGAGAAAAGGAGAGAGAAAGAGAGAGTCTCTAGCAGAGTTCATTTTTAACTGACTGGAGGTGCAGAAGTGGTAGAGGGCAGTGAGGCGTGGGGAGTGGAAAGATGGGAGACGAAAGCATGAGATGAAAGTACTGCTCGTCAGTGGGTGAATCAGGCACCACATATCAAAGCTTTCCACTCAGAAAATAGAGCATCTCAATTTGCGTACACTCCCACCCCAGGCCAGAACCGTGTGGATCTGTGTGTCCTGGTGCTGTACATCTATGTTCTCTTTATTCAAACCAAAGACAACATAGTCCATTCAAGTCACAGAATTTCAGAACTGCTTGAAAAAGTCACCATAAACCCTTGTTCTGAATCAGTTGCATCCCGAGGGGGATCTGAAAGGTTCAGAAAATAGCTGCCTCAAGAAGCAGCTTTATAAAGCTTTGTTGGGTGATAAATGCACTAAGGATTTTCATTTTCACAACAACTTGGGTGTCACGGGTTAGAAGAGAATGGAAATTAGAAATTGGAAAGACTTGCCAGCCCCACCTCCTTCCATATGTGGACAGAGCATCACGGGGTATCTGCCACAGCCCTGGGCCCCCCAGCAGCATGTTTGAGCAAGGGGACCACAGGGGATGGAAGAGGCCTAAGCCACTCCTCCCAGAGCACATGCGCAGCAGAAGGAAGGCAGCCTCAGGAGGGGAGAATCCCTCTTTCTCTGTCTGTGTGTCTGTCTGTCTGTCTCTCTCTCACACACACATATATTTTGGTGCCAAATGCTCCCGGTTCCTCTTTTGGACTCCAGAGAGCTGAGCAAAAGAAAACTTGTACAAGAAGAAAAGGAAGGTGTCACATGAGAATCTGGGTTCAAATATTTGGCTGAGGGCTTTTGGAGACCTGTGACAATGAGGTAACAGCGAATTAAAACCAGGCAAAAGCAAGTTTAGGCAGTAGATACGGCAACAGTGTAACCATTAACCATTCTGCTCAGGTGAGCTTATCTGCAAGGCGTGAGGGCACCCTGGCAGCGTCTTCTTGGGAAAGAGAAGAAAACCAGGACTGGGACACGTGGAGCCAGAACGCCGCTGCTGTGGGTCAGCACCCCATCTGGGGCTGCTCTTCGTCACCTGACAACAGGAACTGGCAAGAATCAAAGTGGTGCTGGTTGGGCAGAATCTCAGTCAACACCTGGGAACAAGATCTGGGAAGGCAGTGGACATGGTATGAAGAAATCTAAAACTAAGCTATTTTGTGAATTTAAGTTATGAAAAAGGAGATGAGTGAGCAAAAGAGAAGGGAGGAAGGTGGGAGCTGGAAAAAGAGGAAGGCGCAGCCGTTGGAGGGGCAGGAAACAAACAGAAGCCTGTGGTCTCCATGGGCTCAAGCTGCTCCCGCCTCCCACCCCTACCTAAGAGTTCTGTGAGCAACCCAGATGAGATCTCAAGTCCCAGAAGGAAGCTTAGGAAAATAATGGACGGAAGTGCTGAAGAAATACGCAAGGCAGCTGAAACCACTTGATCTTGATCTTTGCATCTGAGAAAAATCACCGGCAAGGAAATGGACAGGATCGTTCCAAAAATAATGAGTTGGCTGGCAGATGACCATAGTATTAAGAAGATGAAAAGTCAGATGGCACCAAAATGCACATTACCGAGAGCTGAAGAAAACAGACATCATTTACATTCTAAGCTGAATAACGAGGTGTCAGCAAGGCATCAGCTGGAAGAAAAAAGTTGGAAAATGATCTTTTTTTTTTACTGCTTGCAGCCAAAGCTCTAGCTGGAAATAAATGCAAAACCTTGCAGCTGGCAGGCAGTCCTTACCAATCCCCATCAGTGGAAAAGTAAGACTGTTAAAGGGTCTGACTCAGAAAGCTTAAAAACAGAAGCTGTCAGCTGCAGAAGAGGATGTTCACAGGAATTTAAGAAATGGAGAGTGAATTACAGTGAAAACAGATTATGTAAACATCCGTTAGATCACCATGCAGAAAAGAAAAAAACTGCCCAGGACACCAGGCGTTTTCTTTCTGATGCACCAAGATTTCTTTCTTTAGAGAAAAGAGATGTTGCCTTCCTGAGACAGAAATGGCAGGCAGCAAACCCAGACTGCTGTGCTTCAGAGATCTCAGAAATAAAAACAAACCCAGGGAGATCAGCTAAATACCTCCCATCCATTAGAGGCTCTGAAGGCCACGTTGGTTCCCATGGGACACACCTGTTGAGGGCTGGCATCACTCTGCTCCCCATTGCACAACCCACCTTTTTGTTGATACAAAAGGCATGCCTAAAAGTGAGGTAGTTGTGAATGGGCTTGTACCCAGGTGGAGGGACATACAAGGTGTCAGGAAAAACTTTACCCTCTGATCTGTATGCAAACATGACTTAGTTGATATAAAGTTGGCAGATCGTCTGCTGGGTCTCACACCCTCTGAATGGCGGATTACGCAACCCTCGTTGGTGATGAACCCAACAGGAGTATCTCCATTTCATCACTAATCAAATAGATTTGCCTGGAGGTCATACAGGGCTATGCATGGATCACCACCTGGGCCAAAGGACCACTTTTTTTTTTTTTTGGT